GCTGTGCCCTCCCTCGCTGCCTGCGACCTGCCAGTGTCGGCGGGTTCCAGGCTCGCTGCCAGCTCGGTCGACCTTCGGGTGTGCACTGCAGCCGTGGACGGCATGGGTCAGCATCGTTGAGCCGATCCCCATCCCCACCAGGCCATGATATCTCAGCCCCACCATCCCACCACCCTTCTGGGGGATAGGCCGCTCGACGCCTGAAGGGGACAGCCTACAACCCCATCTGGGAGGCCAGATCAACCAGCGGGGCCCAAGCCACGCCAGTGGGGGTAGGGAAAGGCCCTCGGTGGCTTTCGGGAGTCGAGGGATAAACTTTCGGAGCTCCGCGCGGACTCATTGGATCGGCGCTGGGGCCCGCTGGGGGCGCCTCCGGCGCGGCTCCTGGCGCTCTCCGCGCGCCAGGGGGGGGGTATCCAGCGCCGATCCAAGACATCCGCGCAGACTTCCGACAGTTTGTCGGAGGTGGGGGGGCTAGATCACAGTGAAGCGGAGGGCCTCCCACTGGGGAATCGGTTTCGGTTTCGTGCTCGTGTTCTTGTCGTGCGGGCGGGCGAGGCGAGGCTGCGAGGGCGGGCGAGAGGAATGAATCCTCCTCTGGCTAGCGCGCAGCCGGGCCAAAAGACCGCCTCCATGGTTGTCCAACGGTGGCCGGGGTTGTCCCGCGGGTGTCCCGTCGGGTGTGAGATCGATATTGGAACCAACACTGAGGCCGATAGTGAGCTCGATAACGTGATCGATAGTCACGTCGATAGTGAAATCGATAGTAAGATCGATCGTGAGATCGATAGTGAGACCGATCGTAAGATCGACAGTGAGATCGATAGTGAGATCGATAGCGAGATCGATACTGAGATCGACAGTGAGATCGATTGAGATCCATCGTGAGCGAGTATTATATCGAGAGTGATATCGATAGTGAGATCGATCGAGTGAGATCGATCGTCAGATCGATAGTGTGACCAGTAGCGAGATCGATAGTGATATCGATAGTGAGGTCGAGAGTGAGATCGATAGGGCGGCGGTCAGTGTGATCGGCAGTGCGATCGATAGCGATATCGGTAGTAGGATCGAGAGTCAGATCGATGGTGAGAAACATAGTGAGATCGATAGTGAGATCGATTGTGAGATCGATTGAGTGAGACGTTGGTTTCTCCCCCCCAAACCTTCTGTATAGGTATGTTTATGTATTTGTTGATCCTCCAGGGCCTCCAGCGATCGCTCAGAGCGACTCGAGCGCACGCCCCTGAACGCTTTCGACGATAGGCGTGGCTGCTGCCTGGCACCTCGGGGCCCAGGAGGCCTGCGGCAGCTGGCAGGAGCCGAGAGCCTGCATTGACGGAGGTCCGCGGGTCGTCTCTGCAGGCATGTCCCCCTCTCGCACGAGCGCGGGGGTTCAGGGGAGCAAACCCACGACATGAACATAACAATTCGGAGGTCCGCGCGGATTTCTCGGATCGGCGCTGGAGCCCCCTGGCGCCGCCCCTGGCGCCGCCCCTGGCGCCGCCCCTGGCGCCGCCCCTGGCGCGCTCCGCGCGCCAGGGAGGGGGGTCCAGCGCGGATCCACGAAGTCCGCGCGGACCTCCGAGGTTCTGTGTTTCTGCCACTCGTCGTTCCCCCAGATGCTGCGACCACTCGCCAACCCTACCCCTGCGGGGCCCGAGCTCGGCGCCAGAGGGGAGGGGGCGGGGGCGCGCCTGGGGCTGGGAGGGGGCCGGCTCCACAAGCACTAGGAGAGCCCTTACCAGACAGCACACGATCGTTCTAAGACGCCCCCGCGTGCGCAAGGCGCACTGTACGGACGTCGATCTTTCGCGCATCGTCATCTCAGCATCTCGCCAGAAGCTGCCACGTGACCCAGGCGCGCGCGCGCAAGAAGGGCCCCAAGCGTGAGCTCCATGGGCTGCTCCTTGGGAATGCCGGAGACGTGCGGCGGCCACCCGCCCACGCAGGGGTGGCGCGCCCTGCAGCCTCTCCCGCACGGGCCGGGCCGCGCAGCCCCTTTTTGGCCCAGGCTTCCGGCACGCTGCCTCGCAAGCGCACTCCCTGCCCCGCCCGCTCACCACCGCGGCGTCCACCGAGGAACCAGACAGCGGCACTGAACACCATAACTTCTCGCAGGTCCGCGCGGACTTTTTGGCTCGGCGCTGGACCCCCTCTCCGTGGCGCGCGGAGCGCGCCAGGGGCGGCGCCGGAGGCGTCGCAAGGGGGGGCCCCAGCGCCGATCCGAGTCCGCGCGGAGCTCCGGAAGTTTGATGTCCATGCCACTGTTTGTTCCTCGATCTCGTCCACGTGCGCGATGGAGGCCTTCGCCTTCGGCGGGATGCCGGCGCCGCGCGCGCCGGCCGGCGTGGCCGCCACCCCCGCAGCGGCGGCGCTCGGAGAGGAGAAAACTGCACAAGTCTACAGTTTCGGAGCTCTGCGCGGATCTCTCGGGTCGGTGCTGGACCCGCGTCCCTGGCGCGCGGAGTGCGCCAGGAGCGGCGCCGGAGGCGCCAGGGGGGCCCAGCGCCGGATGCGCCTCCCACCTGCGCGTTCGTCGTCGTCTGCCTGCTTCTCTCGCCGAGCGCGTTCCACTACTCGCACAGTGCCTACTCGCAAACGTCCGAGAAACCATACCTCTGCCTTGGTGTGTAGTACGCCGTAAATCCCCTGCGGCGGATCCAGGCCATTTGCGAGCAGCTACCTTGCGAGTAGTGGAACGCGCTTGCTCCTTTGCCTGCTTCTCCCCTCCTCCTCGTCCTCGTCCTCGTCCTCCTCCTCCTCCTCGTCCTCCTCCTCCTCCTCCTCCTCCTCCTCCTCCTCATCCTCCCCCTCCTCCTCCTCTCCTCCTTTCTCTCTCCTCCTCTCCTCCTCCCTCGCCTCCTCCTCCTCCTCCTCCTCCTCCTCCTCCTCCTCCTCCTCCTCCTCCTCCTCCTTCCTCCTCCTCCTCCTCACTCCTCCTCCTCCTCCTCCTCCTCCCCCTCCTCGTCCTCCTCCTCCCCCTCCTCCTCCTTCCCGCGTGGCGTCGCGTGGGGCTCCATCCTTCGCGCCCCCCCGCCGGGCACCGCAACGGCCTGCGCTGTCCCCAGCGCCCGTCCGAGAGAGCCACGCGGAGCTCCGAAAGTTTGTGCTCATGCGCAGCGTCCCGCGCCGCAGCGTCCCCCGCGCCGGCGCAGAGAGAGGAGAGAGGAGAGAGGAGAGAGGAGAGAGGAGGAGGAGGAGGAGGAGGAGGAGGAGGAGGAGGAGGAGGAGAAGGAGGAGGAGGAGGAGGAGGGGGAGGAGGAGAGCAGTTTTTCCTTCCCCCAGGCGCAGCGCCCCGCCGCGGCGCCGCAGGCGTCCGCCCCGGGCGCAGCGGCGGGCCAGCGGTGGCCGGGGGCGGCGGCCACCGCGGCGACTTGCGCGCCGCTGGTGCTGGGCGCAGCGGCTGCCGGGGGCCTCCTCCCGCTCCTCCTCCACCGTCTTTCCACGCCACTCCGCGCGGAGGCAGCGTGAACGCCGCTGGCCCCTACTCGCAGCACCGCGGCCCGCCGGCGCGCGGCCCGCTCACCTCCTCGGAGGTGGGCGGAGGACCCCCCCCACGCAGAGGTTCGCGTCGTGTCGACCATCGGCGACCCCGCCGCGGGCGTTCGACGCTGAACGCCGGCGGCGGCCCAGAATCGGTCGAAGTGGAGCGAGTTGACGTTTCGGAAGCGGCCGAGCGTTCAAGACTGCACGATCGCCGCGGTGTCAGCAGCCAACGCCGGGGTCGGCACGACACGGGCCTGCCGTAGGCCTCCCAGGGGAGGGTCGCCCCGCCTCTCCGATGTATCGGCGGTGCGGCTCGGTGTGGAGCCCGATTTTCTCCACGCCGACGTCGCCGATGCATCGCCGATGCAGCGCCGATTTGCATCTGCGACGCGGCGCGACCTTCCAATCCCATGCACTCGGACCCCATCTAGGAGGCCTTGACTTCAGAGGGGACATGTTGCTCAAACGTTTTCCCAGGCTGCCCCGAGTGGAGGACGTGTGCGACTCGAGCACGCCCGAGCTCGGGCCTGCCGACGCCTTTTGCCGGGCCCGTTCCGGCTTTGGGCGGCCCAGTCTTCGTGGGACGCTTGCCACGAGGAGGACGAGGAGGAGGAACGGGAGGAGGAGGAGGAGGAGGAGGTGAGGAGGGAGGGAGAGGAGGAGGAGGAGGAGGAGGAGGGAGGAGGGTTGAGGAGGAGGAGGAGGAGAGGAGGAAGGAGAGGAGGAGGCGGAGGAGGAGGAGGAGGGGAGGAGGAGGAGGAGCAGGAGGAGGAGGAGGAGGAGGAGGAGGAGGAGGAGGAGGAGGAAGGAGGAGGAGGAAGGGTGGAGGGGAGGAGGAGCAGGTTAGGAGGAGGAGGAAGGAGGAGAGGAGGAGGAGGAGGAGGAGGAGGAGCAGGAGGAGGAGCCTCGAAGTTCAGACTGGGCAGCCGCCATTCTCTTGGCCGCCCCGTCAGGCCAGCCCGAGTCTCCCGAGCCCGAGCCCCACGTCTCTCCCCGCCCGAGGTTTCCCGACTCTCTCGTCGGCTCCCGGCGGCTCTCTGGCCTCGGGCTGCCTCTCGGCGGCCGCGTCTCGCCGAGAGGCGTCCAGGGCTCCTCCTCCTCCTCCTCCTCCTCCTACCTCCGCCTTCTGTCCTCCTCCTCCCCCCTCCTCCTCTCCTCCTCCTCCCTCCTCCTCCTCCCTCTCCTCCTCCTCTCCTCCTCCTCCTCCTTCCTCCTCCTCCCCTCCTCCTCCTTCCTCCTCCTCGGCCGCCTGGGGCCCGAGTTTGGGCTCGGAGGCCAGGGAGCGCAGGGCCAGGGGCAACGTTCGGTGGGGGAATAGGCTCACGGGGGGGTGCATCGACCCCCCGTCGCCCATTTGATCGCCGACTGAGGCCCGATAGCCCACCCTGCCCAGGAGCGTAATTACAGATTTGCGCTCGGGGGACTGTCGCCGATCTATCGGCGACGTCTCGCCGATTCCAGGTCGGTGTTGCCCCCCGTGAGCCAGTCCCCCCTTTACCTTGGCCCCTCAGGCTGGCGCTCGACGGCGCCGTCCGGGGGGCAAGGCGAAGGCTGCAATGGGCTGGAAGATGGGGGGCCCTGCTTCTTCGTGGTCGTCGTCCTCCTCCCCTGAGATCCTGGCGTTGCGATTCTTCCACGCCGGGCGATCCTGCCCTGTTTCGGGCCCTGGGAACATCACATATCGATCGGCTGTGAAAAGCGCCGCAGAAAGATGGGGTTCAGGGTTCCAGTAATGATTTTTTAAGAGGTCTTATTTTTGTCGCAACGTCGGCTCTCAGGGTCTTCCTCCCTCCCTGGTTTCATGTTTTCGCAGGTGTGCGCTGCCAAGTCACATGCAGGGGGTTTCGAGGCGTGCCTCACCGGATTGCGTTGCCGTGGGCGAGAGCGGGCAAGAAGATGGGAGGTCCCAACAGGATCCAGGACGTGCGGTTTGGACGTTTCGGCTCCCGGCTTTGTTTCCAGCATTTCCTGAAGGGCAATATTCACCGAACAGCGGCTGCTGACAGGTTTTTGCAACGCAGGGTAGGTGCAAAGGGTTTCCAGATCGTGGTTTCGGTCCCCTCGTGCCGCGCCGTGGCGTGCTGCCAACCCTGAGGTCCGACGTTGCGAAACAAATGCCACACCGCCAAAAGTCACGACCCGAGCACTGGACCCCACCCGACTTCGGCCGGGATCGTTCCGCCAGTGTCCCAGGGCCCGAAGCAAGGCAAACTTGCCCGTTGTGACAAACTCGCGACGCCAGGAATTCATGAGAATTCGTGTTTGCGGTCCCAGCGTGCTGTGCAGACCCGCGCCATGCTGTCAGTTCGTTGGTGCAGCCTCCGCGTCGCGTGCCCGATTCGTGCAGCCGCCGTCCCCGTGCCATGCCCTGCCATGTTGTCCACTCGTGAGCTCGTTCGCCGCGGTGCTAGTGCTCCTTGCCCTCCTCCTCCTCCTCCTCCTCCTCCTCCTCCTCCTCCTCCTCATCCTCCTCGACCTCATCCTTGCCCCTCTCCTACCTCGTCGTCCATCTCTCTTTTTCCTCCCCCGCCCTTCCTCTACGGTCTCCTCCTCCTCCTCCTCCTCCTCCTCCTCCTCCCTCCGCCTCCTCCTCCTCCTCCTCCTCCCTCCCTCTCTCCTCCCTCCTCCGTCCTCCCTCCTCCCTTCTCCCTTCTCCCTCCTCCCTCCTCCCTCATCCTCCTCCTCCTCCTGCTCCTCCTCCTCCTCCTCCTGCTCCTTATCCTCCTCCTCCCTTCACTCGAACGGTATGCCTTCCTGTCCTACTTGTCTCATCCCATCCTTGCCTGCACCACCCGCTGCCGTTTTCCAGCCGATACCATGCCCCGTGCCCGCTCTTAGGCACGCTGTTCGAGTCGTTGTTCACTTACATTCCGCTGTTCAGAAAACTTCGTCTTTCACGTCGCTCCTCACATCCATGTCTCCAGTTGGTAGCGGGGCATCATGCTCCGTTGCCACGGCCTTGCCATGTCCCGCCGCGCTCCGACAGCATCGGCTCCAACCCTCCGCCGCTGTTCATCCCGTTGTTTATCCGCTCTTACTCTCGCCTTCGTGCACCTATTCCCGATCACCGTGGCAGGATCCGCCGGGGCGGCAGCCCATCCTTCAGGACTGGTGACGGGGAAAGCGCACACTTATCACAACAAGTACACGAACGAGACCTACAAGGACTCTGGCCGCGCCGCCGATGACGACGACGACGGACCTCGTGGCGCGCCGGAGCTATCAGCGATCCAGCGATCCTTCCCGGGCTTGCACTGACTGCTTCAGCGCAGCTCGCGGACCCTACTCCTTCAATGCGCCTGCCTTTGCGTGTAGCCGCAAATGTCCGACAGGTGCTCGACACAACGTCCACATCTACGACGTCGGCTGAGAGTGCCGAGCTTTTCGTGACTGGGTCACGAGGGCCCTGAGAGGAGCAGGCAGAGAAGAGCGGGGAGGCAGTGGAGGGTCTGGTCATTGTGTTCCCAGCACACCGAGGGACAGTGAAGCGGATGTGGGAGAGCCAGAGTTCTGCGTAGCCAGCACCTAACTCGCCAGCTCTCCTGCCCCCCAGACAGTCTTCGATCTCTTGGCGCATGACATTTTATCCCGCCCGCGCACTCGGAGCGGCCTGGCAGGATAGGGACTCGATGCGCACTCCTCTTGACGATCGTGCACTTGGCAGTGCTCGGCGCAGCGACAACGCGACGTGCGAGGAGCATGCCCCCGACTGCGTCGCGGAATGCTCCGAGTGCCGGGGGCGCGACAAACGCGCGGCAAAAACAGACGCCCCACGCGCAGACGAGGAGGAACACATCCGGGGCAAGAGTCCACGGCGGCTCCGAGGCGCCTTGCCCGAACAGCGCCGCTGATTGATCCCCGGCCCCCAGCGCCCCCGCGACGCGTGGAGGGAGGTAGATTCCGGATGGACGGCCGTCGGAGCTGGCGTGCTTGCCATCACCAGCTGCGTCGCTTGCCTGGACGCAAGCGGCGGCGGTGGCAGAGAGCGAGCAGGCGCAGTGCCCGACCGCAAGAGGCGAAGAGCTATGCGCAGGCGTCTGCCAGGGCTGCTTGGGCAGGTGCCCGTGCGTAGTCCTGCGCTTCCCCGCTTCCGCAGCCAGCAGCAGGGGGAGGAGGAGGAGGAGGAGGAGGAGGAGGAGGAGGAGGAGGAGGAGGAGGAGGAGGAGGAGGAGGAGGAGGAGGAGGAGGAGGAGGAGGAGGGGGACGACGAGGAGGAGGAGGAGGAGGAGGAGGAGGAGGGCACCGAGGAGAGCCCCGAACGGCCTGAAGGAGCGGGAAAAAAGAGGAGAGGGGGAGAGACGACACTACGACAGCAGGAGGGGCCTTCGTTCGACTGAAAAAACAAAGCCGACGCAGTCGAGAGTCAGCGTGACTTGTTGTCATTGTGCGCATTTGACCAGCAAGCCCAGCGACGACGCGCGAAATGCGCGCCGTGAGGACGATAGGAGGAGGAGGACAAAGGTGATGAAACATGAAGAGGCAGGTGGAGACGAATGCGTGTACAAGAGGGATGGAGACGACGATGAGAATGCGGAATGCGAAGCGTCCAGAATTTATTCAAATCTGTGGCAATACACCGTGTTTGATCAACTGGGTTGCTGCCATGGCGAAGTGTTGCTTGTATAGAGCCTGTGTCGAAGTGAATTCCTTTGACTGCCCACGGTTGGCGAGAGAATCGTTTTCTGTGTAATACCCGTTGTATTGATTGAACATATTTCTGAACATTGGACTGTGAACTGTTTTGAGGCCTGCTAACGCTGGGGTCGCTGTGCCTTGATATTTTTGCTGTCTTGGCGTTGGAACTCAAAGGGGCTGAATCTTGAGGGACACTACTGTTTGGATTGTCGGAGCATCGTTCGGGTAGTTGAGTATGCATTCGTGCCAATGATTTCCCTAACCAACTTTATCCGATGAGCCAACAAACTTCCAACAGAAACGTGGACAGAAATTATACAGATGTCCGTGGGTGTCTTTCCACGTAGCCTTTTGATCGCCTTGATCCGTGATGGTTGGTGGCGATCGCGAAACAGCTCGTGCCAATGGGGGCGCTGACGTACGTGCGTTGCTCGAGGAAGCCGCGCTAGTGGATATACCTTAACCAGCCGGAAGCTCGTCAACTGCATGGCCCTTTTCACAACGAGCGTTGTCGCGAGCCTGCTGTCCATAAGTATGTGTACTGCCAGAAGAGATCCTGCGATGCGGTCCACATGCATGTGTACTGCCAGAAAAGGCCATTCCATGTGTACCCGCAGAAGGAACTAAGTTGGCTGCGGTACTCGATGTATCTGCCCGTGCGCTGCCATGTCCAACAATATCGGCGTCGACGACGACCGTGCTGCCTGCTGCTGCTCCATGGTCCTCCGCCGAATGTGATGGCGGTGGTCGGGGTTCTGCTATTCGCGGAACGAGAGGCGGAGGAAATGGCGGCGGAGTGAAAGAGTCCACGGTGATCGGGGAAGGGGCGAATGGTGGTTCACCTTGCTTGTATTGCGGCAGTTGCAACTTTATGGCGTTCGATTTAACAATTTCGTCGTATTTGTTAAGGCCAACACTATTGCATGTAGAGTTGCCAACTTGTCTGTTGTGTTCGCTGCCGCGACCCGCTTCTTTAAGGAACAAGAGGATGTCGCTATACTATATATATATAGAGAGAGAGAGAGAGAGAGAGAGAGAGAGAGAGAGAGAGAGAGAGAGAGAGAGAGAGAGAGAGAGAGAGAGAGAGAGAGAGAGAGAGAAAGAGCGAGAGAGAGAGAGAGAGATTGTGAAACACGGTATTGACGAGCAGCGTAGCCGAGACGACAGAAACAATTTTTCTTGAACGTGCACGAGATGAAACAGCTGCCTGCGCATACGAATGATAACATGTTTTCATGACGTGTCTCTGGACATGGCTATGGTGCAAATCCAGGAGGAGGGTCTCTCGTGTCACGGGCATCCTGGCGCAAGGGCGACACGCATGGGCGAACCGCCGAGCTCGTCAGCGGTTCGGGCCCGCACCGTCCTCGCCGGGGGGGGGGGGGCAATCCTCCTCCTCCTCTTCGGCATCGTCCGTCGTACGTCCTCACTCTCCTCCTCTTCCTCCTCCTCCTTTTACTCCTCCTCCTCCTCCTCCTCCTCCTCTCCTCATCCTCCTCCTCCTCACATCATCATCACCATCATCATCATCATCATCATCATCATCATCATCATCATCATCATCAATCATCATCATCATCACCACGCATCATCATCATCATAATCATCATCATCATCATCATCATTCATCATCACCATCATCATCATCATCATCATCAATCATCATCATCATCATCATCAATCATCATCATCATCATCATCATCATCATCATCATCATCATCATCATCATCATCATCGATCATCATCATCAGCATCATCATCATCATCATCATCAATCATCATCATCATCATCAGATCAATCAATCATCATACATCATCATCCCTCAATCCATCCATCATCATCATAATCATCCGACTCCCTCTCCCACCTCTCCCTCCCCCTCCTCCTCCCCCTCCTCCTTCAATTCCTCCTCCTCCTCCTCCTCCTCCTCCTCCTCCTCCTCCTCCTCCTCCTCCTCCTCCCCCTCCTCCCCCTCGTCCTCCTCCACGAGCCCCCTTGCGCCAGCCTGGCCCGCGGAGGCCCCCGTCGCGGTCCGGGTGTCCACGGTGGACACCCCGGCGGTGCGCGCAAAGGACCCGGCTGCGCGCCACCCTGACCCCCTGGCGCCTTTTTCGTCATAGGTTCGACGCTCAGAGGGCGACCTTCACCTCCCTCGCGCCTCCCTCCGCTCTGTCCAGTTCTTCCGCGCCCGATTTCGAATCGGGGATCGGCGACAGAATTGATTTACCCCAGAATGTGTCTTTCGTCGAGTCCCGCAGAACGGTACGTATTTGTCATAGGTTCTACGAACAAAATTCAGTATGGGGTAAATCAATTCTGTAGTCGATCCCCTACTCGACGATTCGCTTGCCGTGTGTACCACGCCAGGCTCGCACGCGACGGGTCCGCTCCAGAGCTGCAGACTCCAAATATGTCTGGTCCATCCTAGCGTCTTTCCCTCGATGTCGGCCCTCCGGGGTTATATTCTCTTTGCCAGGGGCCACAGAAATTGAATCTGGGACGAGAAACTGTCCCTGGTGACGCGGCGGGGATCTCCCCTGAGATCCTGGAGTGGCAATTTTTTCACACTGGGCGTTTTCGCCCAGTTTCGGGCCCTGTGACCCTCACAGATTGATTCGGCTCGAAAAATGCAGCATAAAGATGGGGTCTAGGGTTCCGTTTTTTTGTGCGATGCTGCAATTTTTTCTGCAACGTCGGATCTCAGGGTTGAGCGACGAGCGGAAACGGTCCAGACCATTTCCAGTCGTGACAAGAATCACGATTAGCGGTTTTCGGTCAGTTTCTCCATCTGCGGCCCTCGCCTGAATGAAAAGCTGGTCCCAGGGAATGGGTTGAGGCCTCTGAGGGTCGGCGTTGTGACAGGATCCTGTCGGAGCCCTGGAGGTCCCAGACATCCAGCGTCTCGAAGCAATCGAGGTGGAGCTTTGCATAGTTTTCGGCCTCGCGGAGCCCCTACGGGGCCTCGGGACTCTCAAGAAACGACTCGGGACGACAGATCTCGGGCCGAACGACAGGGGGGGGGACAGGGAAAGGGGGGGGTACGAAATCTGCTGCATGCATATGTGGTTTCGGCCCCGCCGCCGGGCCTCGATACACGGGCGCCTCCCGGCGCCGGGAGGCGCTGGGAGAATCATCTACGTGAGCTGATTCTCACCCCCCCCTCTGCTATCCCTCCCCTTTCTTTCGGCCCCCCCCCGCTCGGTCCCCAGCGCCGATCCAAGAAGTCCGCGCGGAGCTCCATAGAGCGTACGTTTATGCAGCGGTGTTCTTCTTCGACTCATCGCTCCCTCCTCCTCCTCCTCCTCCTCCTCCTCCTCCTCCCTCCTCCTCCTCCTCCTCCTCCTCCTCCCCCTCCCTCCTCCTCCTCCTCCTCCTCTCCTCCTCCTCCTCCTCCTCCTCCTCCTCCTCCCTCCTCCTCCTCCTCCTCCCTCCTCCTCCTCCTCCTCCTCCTCCTTCTCCTCCTCCTCGGCTCGTGGTGGGGAGGGTCGGGGAGCTGCAACAGCTTATGCTCATACATCACCGAGAGCACAAGAACCCCGAACCTAATGGCACGAGGAAGACGTGGCCTCGCTGAGGCCCGCGCCTTCGCATCAGGGACAACACTCCTGGGCGGCTTGGTCGGGCTCATCTGCTGAAACGACCCTCGACCCCTAATGTTTTGGGCCCTCCTAACTTCGGTCCCCTCCCAAAGGCTCAGGGGGTCCTCTTGGGTAACTCGATGCCGACGGCGGAAGAGTGGCTCTCGCAGATATTGAGACGCAGGAGGGAGGGAGGAGGAGGAGGGAGGAGGAGGAGGAGGAGGAGGGAGGAGGAGGAGGAGGAGGAGGAGGGGCTCCTCTTGGGTAACTCGATGCCGACGGCGGATGGTGGGCTCGTCTGCGCAGACGTTGGCGCGCCCGCTGCCCGCGGAAGGTCGCGCGTGGGCGCCCTCGCTTCCAGTGCCGCGTGCCGCGCTGGCGGCCCGCGCAGGCCACCGCGCAGAGGTCGCTATGCCATCTCGCGTAGTGGTGGAGGAGGAGGAGGAGGAGCAGGAGGAGGAGGAGGAGGAGAAGGAGGAGGAGGGGGAGCAGCAGGAGGAGGAGGAGCAGCTGGAGGAGGAGGAGCAGCTGGAGGAGGAGGAGGACCTCGACCCTCGACGCTCCTCGACGCAGAGGTCGCCCACTCGTTTGGAGCCGTTTTGGTCTCCCGTCTCTGTCAATTAAAGCTGTGCGCGGCCCGCTTAGCTTCGACCGGAAGAGGCTCGCTCTCGACCCGCGGATCAACAACACAATTGTTTGGAGCCGTTCTCGGCCAGTTCCAGGCCTCGGGAGATGGCTTCTTATCCTCGGGCGCGTGACGGTCGTTACCGGACCGAAGCCCCCCTCCGCCCCCCACATCCGAGCAACGGAAACGATCGCACGCGGGGGGGGGGGGCCGGATCCCACCCCCACGTGCTGATGCTCGCGCGCATGCTGTGGCGATCGCAGCGCACCCTCGCTCCAACTTGCTTGGCATCGCTCGGACGTGTGCATTTTTCCTTCGGCGAGGACCATCGAGGAGCGTCCTTGATCATTTGGCGAAAAACCCACGCACGAAACCGAAAAAAACATAGGGAATGGACGTCCGAGCGATGCCCAGAACTTGCCTCACCCTGCCCAAGCGTTCCCGCTACCCGGGGCCCCAACCTCCCCACCTGGAGGAACCACCGGTAGCCGGAAACGGTACCAAAAACGGCCTCCAGGGCCCTGACGGATCGGCTAGATCGGTCCGGCTGGGAACATCGCGCAGGGTGATGGGGTCTGCAGGCTCCCTCCCCACCCGGAGAGTAACCACCGGTAGCCGGAGATGGTACCAAAAGCGGCCTCCAGGACCCTGACGGATCGTCTAGAGCGGTCCGGCTGGGAAAAAATCGCGCAGAGCGATGGGGTCTGGGGCTCTGGTCGTTTTTCTCACGGTGTTGCAGTCTGATCGCAACGTCGAGATCCAGGGCAGACCCAGACCTCCAACGTACAGACCAAATCGTTCGGGAGCGTTTTCGTCTCCGACGCCTCGGGCCCCTTGCCGTGCCCCAGGACAGGTAAAAACGGCCCTGGGCGGAAGCGCGGTCCCCTGGAAGTGGTCCAGAGCTCCAGGGACCCCGCCTTGAAAAAATTACCCCAGTGCGACCCCACCTAGAAATTGGAGCCACTAGGAAAGCAGCATTAGTTGCTATGCTATGCTATGCTATGCCATGCCATGCTATGCTGCGCTATGCCATGAAATGCTATGCTATGCTATGCTATGCTATGCTATGCTATGCTATGCTATGCTATACTACGCTATGCTATGCTATGCTATGCTATGATATGCCATGCTGCGCTGTGTTATGCTAAGCTATGTTATGCTATGGTATGCTATGCTAAACTGCGCTATGCTATGCTATGCTATGCTATGCTGTGCTATGCTGCGCTATGCTATGCTATGCTATGCTATGCTATGATATGCTATGCTTGGCGATGCTATGCGATGCTATGCTATGCTAATGCAGCGCTGCGCTATGCTAAGCTAAGCTAAGTTAAGCTAAGCTAAGCTAACCCTCTAGGCAGAACCTAGGTAGGGAATTCCACTGTGCTTTGCTTTGCGTTGCTTGTGCTTTGCTTTGCTGCCGCTGCTGTTGCTTTGTCTTTGCTTTGCTGATACGCTATGCTATGCTATGCTATGCTATGCTATGATATGCTCTGCTGTACTATGCTATGCTATGCTGCGCTGTGCTACGCTGTGCTGTGCTGTGCTGCGCTATACTATGCTATGCCATGCTATGCTGCGCTATGCTCTGCTCTGCTATGCTGGGCTATGCTATGATATGCCGTGCTGCGCCATGCTATGCTACGCTATGCTATGCAATGCTGTGCTCTGCTATGCTAAAGCTCAGCGAAGCTAAGATGGAGGTAAGCTAAGCTAAGATAAACCTGAGCTAAACTGAAGCTAAGCTAAGCTAAGATGAAATAAGCTAAGCTAAGATGAGATAAGCAACGCTAAGCTAAGGGGACGTCACTGGGGGAACCGCGGGGCGGATACTGGGGGAACCGCCCGGGGCGCTTTCCACTGCCCGGCCCCTTTAAGCCCAGAGAGTAAGAACCCTTCTAGGCAGAGCCTAGGCAGGGAACAAGTACTCGTCCACTTCCAGGAAAAAATGGAAAAATATGGGAAGTGGGGGGGGGGAAGAAAGAAACTCAGAAATAAGCTAAGCTAAGCTAACCCTCTAAGCAGAGCCTAGGTAGGGAATTACACCCATGCTATGATATGCGATGCTGCGCTATGCTATGCTGTGCTCTGCTATGCTGTGCTCTGCTATGCTAAAGCTCAGCGAAGCTAATATTAAGGTAAGCTAGCTAAGATAAACCTGAGCTAAGATGAACCTAAGCAATGCTAAGATGAAATAAGCTAAACTAAGATGAGATAAGCAACGCTAAGCTAAAGGGACGTAACTGGGGGAACCGCGGGGCGGATACTGGGGGAACCGCCCAGGGCGGGCCCCACTGCCCGGCCCTTTAAGCAAACCGATTAAGAACACTTCTAGGCAGAGCCTAGGTAGGGAATCAAGGCGTCGGAGGTCCGGGGGGTGGTCCTTCTTTCCCTCAGCCCTGGGCGCCGCAACAAAACAAGAAAGTGAAGTCATGGTTTTCGCTGCTTGTTCCGCCTCAGGAGGCCGTTTCCGGGCTCCAGGGCCGTCAAAGAACGACTGGGGATGAGCGGCCAGCCTTTGGGGAGTTGGCCGAGATCACCAGGGGCCGACGTCACGTCGACACTGCCACGTCGGAGGAGAGGGTTCGCTGGAGGGACCTTTCGGCGTGGGCCCGCAGGGATCCCCCCCTGCACTGGCCAGCGCGCTCGCATGTTTGGCCGCCCCCGCGGCTCTCCTGAAGCCGCACACCAGAAGGTACTCGTCCTCCTCCTCCTCCTCCTCCTCCCTCCTCCCTCCTCCCTCCTCCCCTCCTCCTCCTCCTCCTCCTCCTCCTCCTCCTCCTCCTCCTCCTCCTCCCTCCTCTCCTCCTCCTCCTCCTCCTCCTCCTCTCCTCCTCCTCGTCCTCCTCCTCTCCTCGTCCTCCTCCTCCTCCTCCTCCCTCCTCCTCCCTCCTCCTCCTCCTCCTCCTCCTCCCTCCTCCTCCTCCTCCTCCTCCTCCTCCTCCTCCTCCTCGTCCTCCTCCTCCTCCTCCTCCTCCTCCTCCTCCTCCGTCACTCTTGCCCGTGGTCACTCTTGCGCGTAGCCAGAGGACGCGTTTTCCTGGCGGGAGTACGGGGCCGACTGGGAGGTCCACAAGTTCGGGGGCGCCTCCCTCAACGACGCCGAGCTGTACAAGACGTGCGGGGATCTCCTCATCTCCCAGGCCTCACGGGAGAGCGGCAAGTGGATCCCCACAGCGGCGATCGTTTCCGCCGCCGGGGGAATGACAGATGCGCTGGTGTCGATAATTACTACGGCGGTGAACGACAAGGACGCCGCAGCAGAGCAGCTGAAGGCCGCCATCAAGCGCCAGGTGGGCGACGCCAAAACATGGGGTCGTCTGTGCCGATGTGGGCGGGTAAGTTGCACGCGCAAAGTCGCGCGTGAGCGCCGTCGCTTCCAGTGTGGCGTGCCGCGCCGGCGGCCCTCGTAAGTCACTGCGTAAGGTCGCTACGCCATCTTGCGTAATCGGAGGCGACGATCGGGGAGAATAGCCCAGGGGAGAGCAAGACATGTATCCGGGGGCGCCGATGATCTATGTCTTCGACAAGGCTCCCGGGCGAATGCGTGTAATGCCCGCCCCTGGGCTATTCGCCCCCATCGTCGCCGCCGACGTAAGACCACGTTTCTGTTCGTCGCCCAGGTGGACATCACGCTGGAGCTGGTGCCTGGCAGGCCCGATCTGACGGACCCAGTGGTCGCCAACCTGAAGTCGGACAGCGAGAGCGTCGGCTCCCTGCTGACCACCATGGCACTGGCCTCAGAGGGCCTCGATCCCCGGAGATCCTGGAGATCCCCGGATGAGGGAGGGATGAGGGCTCCACCCCCAGACATCCCCAGACATCCCCGCCACCACGGATGAGGGCCCCCATCCCCAGACGTCCCCGGAGATCCTGGCGCTGCCATTTTTTTCGCACCCGGCGTTTTCGCCCCGTTTCGGGCCCTGGGGCCCTCACGGATCGATCCGGCTCGAAAGATGACGCAGAAAGATGGGGTCTAGGGTTTCGGTCGTGGCTTCTCGCGAGGCGCAACGTCGGATCTCAGAGTCGGGCCGCTCCAGTTTTCTCGATGCTTCGGCCCAGGAGGTCCTGACCACTTCCCTGGGGACGGCTTTTCGTCCCGGGCCGTTTTCTGACGGCCCCGGGGCCCGGCGAGGGCCCCTGGAGGCCGAGAGTTGCCCAAAGCCCGCCGCTCCAATTTCTGTCGGAGCGTCGGATCTCCGGCTGGCCGACCTCCGACTCCTCGGCCCGCCTTTTGTCTTGCTTGCTGCTACTGGAGCGGTTTGCTGGGGTGCCTTGCCCAGGGTCGTCTTTCCAGGCCTCCCAGGTGGGATCCCAGCTCGATGTGGAGCCCGTGCTTCTCCACGCCGACGTCGCCGATGCATCGCCGAGGCATCGCAGATACATCGGCGATGCATTGGCGATGCGGCGCGATCCTTCGACCCCATCTACGGTGGGGGCATTCGATAAGGAACGTGCCCAGGAGGCTTCAGGCCCTGAGGGGCTCCTCATCTAATGAGGGCGGCGGTGATATCCATGGCCAATCCACGATCGAAGTTCAACTGGCTTCGAGACCCTGGATTCCTTATCCATTGGTTCCTTACCCAATGCCCTCACCGTACTCGGACCCCACCTAGAAGGCCTCTCGTCTTCGGATGGCCCCATGCAGGGCCCAGCGAGAGGGGCCTCTCCCGCGCCGAAACAAACGGCGACAAGCCTCCGCCCTGGTTTTCTCAGCACGTTGTCCGGGGCCGAGAAGAAGGAGGGGGAAGGCGGAGGAGGATGAGGAGGAGGAGGAGGAGGAGGAAAAGGAGGAGGAGGAGGAGGATGACGAGGAGGAGGAGGAGGAGGCCCGTGGAGTTCGTCTGCTGCTGCTACTGCTGCTGCTTACCGCCCGCCAAGCTGACTGCCCGACTGGGTGTGGCAGGGGTCGTCACGACGACGACGACGACGACGACGACGACGACGACCACGACCACGACCACGACCACGACCACGACCACGACCACGACCACGACCACGACCATGACGACGACGACGACGATGACGACGGCGACGACGACGACGATGACGACGACGACGGCGGCGGCAACGACGAACACGACCACGACCACGACCTTCCAGCGCGGCCCGTGGCTCTCGACGGACGCCGCACCGCCCCTGCGGGCATCCCCGAATTCGGCACGCAGCCTGCCGAGAGGAGGAGGATGAGGAGGAGGAGGAGGAGGAGGAGGAGGACCAGTGTAAATCCAAGAGTCATCAACGATGTTGGAGTAAGCCCTCCCTCGAAGCTCCCTCTTCATGGGCCCCTACAACGGTTCATTTCCATTGATGGGACTGCCTCGTTGGAAGCCACCGTTTTAAGACCCTGAAGCATGCCAAAACATTGTTCTCGGGATTCCAACGACATGGATCAACGTGACTGTTGCGTCTTGACGATCCTGAATCGTGCCAAAACGCTATCCGCATAATTCTGAAACCTTCCGAAACGCCATTTCTGGTACGTTGATAATGGGAATACGTGAAAGTCTTTGCGAACTTACGGAACGAATGTGCGCCGCGCTACGGCGAGAGCCACATGTTGAAAAGGAGCCGCCCTCAATCCGCGAGATTCTTGCACATGGTTCAAACGAATGTGCGCGGCGCTAAGGCGAGAGCCACATGTTGAAAACGACTCGCCCTCAATCCTGGAAGCTCTTGCAACATTTTAATCGAATGTGCGCCGCGCTAAGGCGAGAGCCACATTTTGAAAACCACCCGCCCTCCATCTGCTAAACTATTGCCACTTTTTAACTTCAGAATCATGCATGGCGAGGAAGTCTCAGGCGAACGCCTGGCCCGCCCTAAAATTGGCTTCGGGGTGTGACAGGGAGAAGTTATGTATAAGGAGAAGGAATGGAGGAGGAGGAGGAGGAGGAGGAGGAGGAGGAGGAGGAGGAGGAGGAGGAGGAGGAGGAGGAG